TTCTGTATTAAAATGGACATTTCCAACAGTTATTCATAATAAAAGTTAAGACGATTATGAAGGAAACTTCCTCAACTTAATAAACAATTCTACAGAAAACATGTCTTTTGCTAACAAAGCACTTACTGGGGAAACACTCAATGTTTTTACCCTAACAACTCAAAAAATGTCTCAATCAGCCAGGCACAGAAAGACAGATTAAAATAACAGTCATGTGAATGAATGCAAGGTAGTGATCACAATAGGTTTGGAAGAAGCCGTGGAGGATGGCTACAGGGAGTCTAAATTTCATCAGTACATAAAGAATGCAAGTAGCACATTGAATTTCATATCTACATTTAATACAATAAACAAAAATTGAATACAGATAGGGATTCTATAGAAATTCTCACAGGCCATCAGCTTCAGCTAAAATTGGGTAAAATCAGGAAGCTTAAAGATTGTATCCTTCCTAATAACCATTCTAACCACTCTTATTCAGCATCACAGTCAAACTGCCAGTTCAACTATTGCAATGAGGCAAGAAAAAAAAGTTAGAGGGTTTGGAGAGGAAAAACTTTTCTAAGATAGAATTGAAGATAGAAAATCTCATTTAATACACAAAAACCTCTGGAACTTATGTGTTCATCAAGGTTTCAGGATTCAAAGTTAACACACAAAAACAAGGTGCATTTCTAAGATGAATTGGGAGTATGTGAATATACATTAAAACACATTTCTATTATTTATCAGTTGAAAGAAAATGAGATACTTTGGGTATGATCCTAGCAAAGCATGTACAGACCTGGGTGTTGATGCAAGGAATCAAGATAAATGAGTTTTTCCAAAGTTACCTATTAGCAGAATTCAACTCATCAAAATATTGGCAAGTTTCCATGTAGACATAGACATGTGTATTCTGAATGTGTATGGCAAGGCAAAGAAAGAAGAATAGGTGAAAATGTTCAGAAAAATATAAAATAAGATGGGAAGAATCATTCTGCATTATGTTGACTCTGTATATAGTTACAATAATAATGGCTGTGGAACAGGAGAAGGAAGAGACACAGTGCTTAATTGGGATATAATTGAAAGTGAGAAATAGCTCTTCACACATAGTCCCAAGTGATTTTTTACAGTGGTGCAAAAGTGATTCAGTAGAAGGAGAGCAACCTTCCCAAGAGAGTGTTGGAAAATTGTGATACACCTGGGCCTAAAAGAGAAGAGAAGAAACTTGACTTTAACCTCATACATTATAAAATAGTTAACACTAACTAGATCACATGCTTAAAGGTAAAGCATGTAACTACGTAACATTTAGGACATAAAAACAATAGCACAGAAGGTAAAGAATTTATAGAAATGCCAACAAAAGCACAACCAGAAAAGGAAAAAATAAATGCACTGTCCTCCTGCAAAGGCTGAAAATGGCTGTGAAAAAATCTCGTTAAGAGGAAAGGCAAGCTACATGTCATAATTCTAATGGACCAGCAGAGAGCCTCATGGACAAGAAACAGTTCTGTATGTTGACTGCATTGATGGTTACACAAATGTTCACGTGATGAATTTGAATAGAATTACACACAGACATACACACCCAATGAGAGCACAAGAAACTGGAAATGTAGATTGTATCATTTCCTATTATGATAGTTACAAGTTCATGCTTAATTTGTACATATGCAAGACCTTGCCATCAGGTAAAACAAGATGAAGGGTACATGGAAACTCCTGGTTTATTCTTTTTGGCAATGCTTGTGAATTTACAATTTTTTCATGATAAATTTAAGTTAATAAGTAAATATTAAAATGCTTAAAAACAGATGCCTACCCGCCTGTTTGTGAAAACAGAATAACATTCTTTCACCAGCACTGTTTTTACAATATCAGGATCTGTGATAGCTAATATAGGCTGTCGACCGTCATAAAATCTGTGGCAGGAAAAAAGAATTTATTAACCTTTACTTTCAGAATTAAACTAAAAGGAAATCAATATAGAAAACATACCATGCATTTGTAAGCATACAATATTAAGGTCTTAAATAATGCATTTAAAGGGGACTAAAGAAAGGAAAATGGGGACTCGAAGACTGACCAAACCACGGACAGAAAGTAAAGCTAATAGTCCCTGGGCCATCAAAGCCTGGAAAAAAATCATAACATGCAGTCTTCTCAATCTAATTCAGACTGTGGACTTCAGCTCCTGTGATGTATTGGAGCCTTGGCCAGACGCGCCTCCAAAATCTTATAATAGTTACATCCCAAGAGCTCTGGGCTGACACTGTCTTCAGGCAGTAGGTACTTCACCCTAACATGATAACCAAATGCAAGTTTTCAGCATACTCACCCCCACATTTTTCCATACTTTTTAAAACATTTTGTGTCAAAATCCCAGATACCCTGGGAAGAGAAGAAACATCAAAGTCCATTATTGTGCTAAATGTACTGACCACATCTCTAATAGACACAAATGACTAGAATCCCATGAATACAGGCTTAATATCCCTCACTGGCAGTTGGAGAGAAGATCTTATTCAGAGATATCTGAAGGAAAAGAATATTGTCTTGTCATCAATACTAAGGAATTCCTTCTCTTTTAGCAGTGTCTGTTCTTGTTCTCCTTGTGATGTCTCTGAAATCCTGGAACCTCGGCATTATTTCCTCTGTGGGCATGAGTGGAAACCAAAGCTGAGGAAAGTGAGTTTCCCAGGTGCAAGCAAGCTCTTTCCCTTCCTCATTCAGCATCCTTTTCATTAATCTTATAAACTCTCTTTGGAATTCTAGCTTATTTAGGATTTTGAAAATTTGAGAGATGCAAATTAAAACAAAGCTGAGATTCCATCTCACTCCAGAAAGAATGGCTTTTATCAAAAAAATCAACCAACAAAATGCTGGCGGGGTGTGGAGGAACCCTTCTCCACTGTCAGTGGGAGTGTAGACTGGTGCAACCACTGTGGAAATCAGTGTGGAGATTCCTCAAAAAACTAGGATTAGAAGTCCCTTTTTGATCTAGCTATTCCCCTTCTAGGTATCTTTCCAAAAGAAGTAAAAGCATCATACCACAGCAATATATCTCTACCCATGTTTATAGCAGCACAGATTGTAATAGCTAAATCTTGGAAACAACCCAAATGCCCATCAACTGATGAATGGATACAAAAGATGGTGTTTTTTTCATATAATGGTGTACTATTCAGCGATAAAGAAGGATAAACTTGAGACATTTCTAGGTAAATGGGTGCACCTTGAAACCATATTCTTAGGTGAAACAAATCAAACACACGTGTGTAAGTATTGGATTGTTTCTCTGGTGTGAGAAACCAAAAGTGTAAATAAGGACCAAAATCTACAATAGATAGTGTGAAATAGGAAGAAATTGTTCAAAATTACATCGTATGGGATTCTTTGTTAATAATTAAAATGTTTTGTGCAAAAAATATATTGTGTTATTAGGAAATGAGTTGAAAGATAGATTAGTAAATGAAAATATATTCTTTTAAGATCAAGATACCCAGTGTATTTACCATTGTTATTCTCTAATTATATTTGTTTTGAAAAATTATTTTTCATAGAATAGCTTTTATATTTTCTTTATTAATATCTACTTATATTACATTAAAATAAAAATAAAAAATAAACTCCTTCTCCCCCCCAAAAGCACTAGTGACATCTGTCATTAAGCAAATTTATGTCTCAGTCATGTTGCTGAGTGAAAACATGAGTTAATGAAGACAAAGTAGACTCCTTCTAGTACTTCCATTCAATACAGAAATTTGGGGAGATTCCACTTCTATATCTAGGCACAAAAAATTAAACACAAGCTCTGAGTTTTTACCTCTGAATATTACAAGCAAATATTCCTTTTTCTAGTTTCAGTTGCGATGTTTTAACTATGCAAAAAAAAAAATTCCTGAGGTCTTTCTGTACCTTTCTGGAATCTGCATGGGGCAGAAAGAAAATCCCTCTTTGACACTCACAAAGTCTTATTATATACTCCTCAACACAAAGTACTGATGTGCAAGACAGCTGAGTAGATCAATCCAGGGAAACTTGGGCTCCAAAGAGTTACAATCAGAGTCCCAGGAAAAAGCTGGCCATGCTCTAAGTCAAGCCCACACAACCCTCCCTAAAAATTGAGTATGTCAGAATTTTGTGCTAAGGACCAGAATTTTTACTAATGGAACCAAGCTGGTCTTCACAATCATAAAAAATAAAAGAGGGAAACAAATAATACTCACCTTGCGGGAAGTCAGCATATTTCCAAAAAAGGGAAGAGGTTTTGGCCCAGGAATTCCCAACTTCTTAAAAAGGCCATGTGAAGAGGTCCCGTATCTACAAGGTGATAGAGAAAGCCAGGTACAGGGACTGTGACTGTATAAACATAAGTCACTAGTCACTGACTCAGGAACTGGAGGTCAAGCCAGGAGGATAACATGTAATAAATAATAACATAATTAAACAGCTATAATTACAGTTGCTCATTACCTTTTCTCTCACATTCCCTGAAAAATCCCCCAAATCAGAAAGATTAGCTAAAAGCAGCTGAGACTCCTAGGCTCCCAGTGTAAGTGTGAAAAAACCCCAAAAACTTGAGTTTGAGTGTTCCTGAGAGATTCAGGCTAGAACTTTTCAATGTCACTTCACTCAATTGAGTTGACTTAGGAGGCAGATGTGATGCCAACACATCTACTCTCTAGTAACTTCCAGCAGGGGTCAGTACACCTGCATATCTCTAGGAGTTCTGCCTTGAGTAGAGAGGAGGGGAATGTTCTCCTGCTTGCTTCTAACTCCTACCTGGATATGTTTCATTGCATCACTGGTTCACACTCTCCTTTACAATGAGAGGTTAAGGTAACTTGGCAGTCAGATATATAAAGAAACATGTAAGGTAAAACAAACTGCTACACAGGTATATTTAAAAACATGTAGTCTATGTCATGCACATAGATGTTTACACATTTGATTTATATTCTTGGCATTATTCTAAAAAGATGAGGTCATTTTAAGCAGGCCTCCAGTCACAAACACTGTGCCCAACAGCTCTATTTTAAATTTCTGAAGGAACATGATGTACAAGGGATGATCAAAATATACAGTGAATATTTAAATTTTTTTTTTTAAAAAAAGGTTTTACATTAAAAGACACTTTGGAATGGTCACGGGACTTTTGTGAATAAGGAGGGGAAGAGCGGTTGAAGAGAGGAAAGGAAAATGGGAAAAAAAAGAATCTAGATATACCATGCACAGGTACAAATTCCCTATGATGAATGTGATCATTATGTATATCTAAATTGTAGCAATAAAATTTTAAAAAACAAGGAAAAGACATATTGTCATTAAGCTCCTTCAAAATACCTCTTTACCTTTGAGCCCACTTATCCAAATGTTCTTGCCACTTTCTTAAGCATTTCTGGAGTTCTCTTTCATGCATGTTTTTAGTTGTGGTCTCATAGCTTCCTTGATATCCTGAATTTATTAAAAATGCTTACGTTTCATTGTCATTTTAACTTTAGGGAAAAGTTAGAAAAGGCACAGTGTCAGACTAGGTGAATACGGTGGTTGTGGACACAGTGAATGTTTTTCTTTGACAGAAATTGCCATTAATATTTTGAATTGATTCAGGACATTGAGGCAGCCATAAAAAGATACATAAAAAGAGGACTTCCAAAACTGCTTCAAAAAGTGTCACAAATAATGGACTAAGTGAATTTGAAATGACAGGGAGTATTTTGAGGAGGATTACTTTACATTTTTAACTGTTCTTCATATTCTAAAATCAAATCTTGTACTTATCTCAAAGAAATTTTAGTATTGAGTAGAACGCTATGACAAAAATTTAATTAATTGTAAACAATTATTGTTTGGAAAATATATTGCCCTCAACTTCTAACTTTCTCTTCAAACATTCACGCTAGATTTCTATTTTCTATTTTCACATCATCATGAATATCTACTGTTTATAAATGTAAAATTGAGGTAGAAATCAAATGTGACACGAGTGGAGCTTCTACCCATATTCCAAACTAACACTATTACCCACCTGCTCTATGTTTCATGGATCTCACCATGGACAGGAACTTCTGTATAAGATAGCTTTGATTCATACCTTGTACTAGACTTTACAGGGAAAAAAATATATATTTTTGGTTCTGGGGAAAGAATTTGGGACCTTTGGCTTTTAAGGAAGATGGCAGCAAAACTGAGCTAAATCCCTGGCTAGGAAAAATATTTTTAATCCAAGTTGGCTCGGGGACTCTTGCATTTTGAGGCTGTCAGTAGATTTTTATATTAGGGAAGAATTATATCTCTGCCCTGATACTAAGATTCCAGGGACAGGAAGGAAAAGATAGAGGAAAGAAATAAAAGTTCAAAAATATCTGGCAGTTCTTTTCTGCTCAGAAGAATCATTTTCAGTTAAAGAGTCCTGCATATTGCCTAGTAGGGGAATTGAGTAGTAGGAGGAAGGGGATTACTATGGAAGGGTAACAGGAGAGAGGCAAGAATGTCATCTGAAGCTGTCATAAGGTCCAGGGTGATCTTGGAGAATTGTGTAAGTGGTGCTCAGGGGTGGGTACAAAAGGTACAGGAACAGCCTAGGTCAATAAGGGGCTATCTCCCTGCACATGCCTGAACAGACAGAGATCAAAAAGATAATGGCACAAAGATTTATGAAGAAAACTCTCATCCCAGAATCCTGAGAGGTTGTGTAAGGGTGCATCCCACTGCACACGGTGACCAGTGACATGTAGTCTGCCTTTGCTAAATTCTGGTTGAATAGTCTAGGCCCAAATTGTGACTCAATTAGATCATTCTCCAAGGCAAGTGATGTCACTAAACCTTCCCAGCCATAAAAATCGGGAGTTTGATAGGAGATGAGTGGTATTAATCCCTTCAAAGGATCTGCATAAGATCAGCAATCACTCCTTAGGTTTCGGTAACATCCAACTCTTAACCAACTGCCCCATCATTTTTACTTCTGACCTTCAAAACCGATAGGAGAAAGACCCTGATTTGTAACCCAAGCAAGTCCTAGGTCACAGAGGCGAGGAGCCTGAACAGTTACTCACAGATAGAGGAGCACCAGGCAGGTAGCCAGGAGAACCCAGGTTTCCATGGAATAGTTTGTGATCAGGTCCATTACCAGTTTCCTTTAACAACGATCTCTTATGAGTTTTCCTTCCAGTGGATTGTGCAACACTTTGTGGGGCTGTGCTTCCAGGGCTCCCCTTCCCTGCCCAGTTGTGATTCAGTGAGACTCTTCACAAAGGTTTATGTGGGGAAGGAGGTGGGGCTGGATGTGCAGCCAAGTGGCAGGGCCATGTGTGCTCCACCTGTTACACAGTCCAGTGCTTCTCCACCTTAGCAATTGGCTGAGTCACGAGCATGCTTGTTTTGGTCTCTGAGCCATATTTTGTGGAAAATCAATAAAAGCTCAATCTTATCATTAGTTCCAAAGATCATTGCCTTTTATCAGAAGTCACTGGCATTGCTTCACCTGTACCCTGCCCTTTTATCCAGGGCTGCCCTTGTGCTGAAATACTTGAGATCCACAAAGTAAACATATACTTATTTATTTGTCCAATTTCATTTGCCTAAAATCCCCTGTGCCCATGGAAGATTCTTATTCATCCTTCAAAATTCAGCAATCCAGGCAAAAATTCATCTTACACAGTCTTTCCTTCCTGGGCTTCCTAACCTCCCCAGAGAGAAGCACTTCCTCCTGTGAGCAAGTTCTGCTATTTGCAGCACAGAACTTTATTGTTATATCCAGTTTTCAACAATATAGTTTGTTTCCATAGTTGTTTGCCCTTACAAGATCATGAGTTTCTCCAGGGCACAGTGAGGATATTATTCATTATTATGCTCCTAGGCCTTCAAGAGTACTTTACAAAGAGTTGGGCTCTAGACAGTTCGTTTGAGTTAGGAGAGATTGTTGGGCTTCTGCATGGCCTTTCTCTGTGGGTCTGTGGTGACCACTCAGTCTTCTTCTATTTTAATAGAGCAGGAGGAGTTGCCTATATGTCAGCTGCATTCCTGGCACATTCAGGCTGGGCTGCAAGGATTCTTCCTCCAACAGGGTTCCTAAGGAGAGACAAGACATGAAAAAGATGGAGCTGATGGCTGCACTACTGAGCAGTATCAATTCAGGCTGCTGCAAGTGCAGCTCTTCAGAGTTTGGCAGTAGACAAGTTACACATCACTTTCTCAGAAAAGCCTGTGTGTCAATGATCAATCGGTATGAAAGGACGGAAGAGAGAAGCAGCTTGTATGGAAGGCAGACCCCAAACACATTAACCACAAATATTATGGTCACTGTTTCTACAGACAGCACACTTGATATACAAGATTTCAAAAAATATGACTGCAAGTTTTTTTTTTTCCTTCTGAGCCAGTGGGTGTCCGAGCAGATGGCTCCCTGCTTTTAGATAAATGAGTGATCATTGAGTAAGTGAAGAGCAGGCCCCCAGAGGTGATTTAGGAGGAGGCTTATAAGAGCAATCATTGTGACTAGTAAGCTCCCTACCATTTGCATATTATAGCACCTCATTTTCTGGACTCAGAGCCCTGTTATTTATCTACTTACCTTAGAAATAGAAGATTAGAACTACTCTGTCATTTCTATGCCTGGTGCCTTTTTGTGGTAGCATTCTGAGTAGTGAGGAGGTATACAAAGCTGGCATGCAAAGGCAGACAGTCGAATGAATGCCTGCACTTGGGGTTCTCTTTGGAGACTGACCTCCCATATATTGAGAATTGTATCTGATTCCAGGAAGGAGCAAATGCACTTTGTGTCCTGCACCTCCATTCACTTCAATGGGGCCAAAAGCACCTGGCGAATACCTTTCCATTATAGATTCAGTTCAAACAGCAAAACCATTGTGGGAAGGGAGTGTGGCTTCTAACCTAGAGTTGTTATTAGGGAAACATTTGGAACTCTCCAAGATCTTTCTCTGCCACAGAACTACCCTGTCATTTCTCTGCCAGGTGCCCCTTTGTGGTGGGAGTCTGAAAAGTGGGGAAATGTCCAAATCTGTAATGCAGAGAGGCAGACAGTTCAACAAATGTGTGCACATGGGGTTCTCTTTGGGGACTTACCTCCCATGTATTGAGACTGGTATCTGCTTCCAGTGAGGAGCAAATGCACTTTATGTCCTTCACCTCCATTCATTTCAGTGGTAACGAATACACCTAGGGAAATCCTTCAAGTGCTATCTTAGCTTCAAACAGCAGAACAATTCTCTGAAGACAGTGAGGCTTCTAACCTACAGTTCTTCTTGTTTTAATTTTAAATTTTTCTGTGTTTAATATTATACATATTTAATACAATGGATTCAAAGAGATGAATGTAAACAATTTCCTCAACTTCTATTTCTTGTTTTTGTGAA